CAGCCAGCACGCTGGCTGGGGAATTCTGGGAGTTGAAGTCCACACATCTTCAAGTTGCCAAAGCTGAGAAACACTGTGCTAGGTATAAGTTGATCTGGAAAATTGCTTTGGCAGGCTTTCAAGATTCTGTTACATTACCCTACTACTAATAAAGATTGTTCCAGAAATCCAGATGATTGTTTCTTGAGCTTTCAGCCATGAAAGGCTTGACAGCTGGAAACCAGTGTTCACACAAAGCTGCTTGTAAAATTAGGCAACAGTGAGGGGCAATAGTAGCACTTTGCCATAGCAGAAGACTGCGGGAGTTACTCCTCTAAATCCCAAAGTGAGTCATGCTTTTCTGCTGTGCAGACTTGGTTGTTAAAGAAACAGGAATAAAGCAAGGATTCCAAGGGAAAAGAGGAGTCAGGGTTAAGATAACACTTCCAAAATCTAAATAGAGAACTGGGGCTAGGAACTGAAAATAAGGGTGTGACCACTACCTAGTAGTTACCGTGAAGAAGGGAGAGATGAGCTGTGGAATCTTGACTGCAGATTAAACCACTCTAGGGAAATCACATTAATATCAGTTGCTTGTCCATGTAAATTATTTTGTTGTAAGGGTTGCATATCTTCCCCAGGCTGAAAATTACACTTTTAACCGGGCCAAGCTCTTGAATGTGGGCTTCAAGGAAGCTATGAAAGATGAAGATTGGGACTGCATATTCTTCCATGATGTGGATCTCATTCCGGAGGATGATCGAAATGTTTATACCTGTGATCATTTTCCTAAACATGTGGCGGTTGCCATGGACAAGTTTGGCTACAAGTAAGCTTGAGAGTTGGGATACTTCTTTCCTAAACGTGCAGCTGCTTCCCCTTCCCAATCCCCTTCCTTATTATAATATTGTCTTTTCTGAAACAAAATCGTATTAATAAAGAGGTCTTTCTTTCAATTCTTATCTAGAAATAGGATATGATTTGAGTGACTAAGACCAGGGAGTCCTGGGTTTAAAACCTTGCTCAACCATGAAATTTACTGGCTGCCAGTCATAGTTTCCCAGCTTAGCCTGTTCCATAGAATTTATTTCTTTCCATTTATGTGGCTGCCCATCTTGCCATGGGCAGCTAACAGCAGTTAAAAATTTAACCGACTGTGAAAATGGGCTCTGACAATCCAGCCCCATACCCAGGAACACAGCCATGTCCTCAGGGCCTTGCAAAAGGCCAGTAGGGTCAGGGTCAAGCTGATCTCCAGGAGGAGGATGTTCCACAGGGCAGGCACAACAGAAAAGGTTCTCTTCCTGGGTCCCACCAGATGATATTCCTTAACTGACAGGACCTGTAAAGTGGCTCTTCTGCCAAATCTAATTGGGGGGAGGTGGTCTCAAATAACCTGGTCCAATGCATTGAAAGGCTTTATAGGTGACCACCAACACCTTCAATTGCACCCAGAAGCATACTGGCAACCCATGCAACTCGCGGAGCAGAGGTATAATGTGTGGATACTGAGGGGCGCCCATAACTGCCTGTGCTGCCATATTTTGAACCAGCCACAGCTTCCAAGATTGTTAAAGTGGTGGCATAGGAACCATCTATATAGCCTGGAACTCTAGAGAAAAAGCAATAGAAAACAATGCCTGGTTAGATGGGAAATCTTACTGAATATGTTGGCTTGTCTGACCATCAGAGAGGAATGGCAGATGCTCTCCATCAAGCCAGTGGAGGGAGGACTTTTAGACATCCTGGGATATGAACATCCATTCTGTGATCAGTCTCAAGGCAAGAGAGGTGCTGCCTAGGCTTGGCCCATTGGCAGAGTATTACAAGGCTGCCCTTGGGAGTCCTAACGGTACATAGGCAGGGCCTTTCCCATTATCAGTCTGGTTGGGACCAATTCTCAGTGAACTTCCTCTCTAACAGTTGTGATTTGGGGTAGAAATGTCGGCACGTGTCTATGCCAGTTAAGATTTTACAAGATTCTCAAAACTACCTCGATGCATGGATGCCGCTTCTTGTAAGTAAATGTTCTCTTTAACCATTCTTCTGGCAGGCTTCCCTACAAGACATATTTTGGAGGAGTTTCAGCACTTAGTCCCGAGCAGTACATGAAGATTAACGGATTTCCTAATAACTACTGGGGCTGGGGTGGTGAAGATGATGACATTGCAGTCAGGTAAGGATTTGATTGGGAGATGTGGAAACAGACAGGCCCATTGCAATCTGGGCTGGAAGCAGATAATCCAAGGAATGAGAATCCCCAAGACTGCCAGTTAATAGTCTGTATTAGGAAGTCAGTAAAAGTTATAATAGAAGTATTCAAGCAAGTATCCTCCTTTCATGTGAGACACCTTTGTATAGGTGATTAAAGCAGGAAAAGTTTTGCCTGTTTTCTCCCAGTTTTCCTATACAGGAGATTAAAGAGCCAGTTTCTATCTGGAGTGAGGTAGTGGAGCATTCCCTGGGTATATCTTTGACTCCAGAGGCAGCCATGCCTGTTGCGATCACTTGCTTGCTTCTGCTAATGTTGATCGGCCGTCCCCTCTCCTGCAGGGTAGCACTGAGTGGAATGGTTATCTCTCGCCCATCTATTCAGTATGGCCGTTATCGCATGATCAAACATGGACATGACAAGGGCAACGAACAGAATCCCAAGAGGTAAGTCAAAAGAAATATTTAAGAAGAATTTGTAGACAGAAGCTGCTCCCATGTAAGACTGACTGATCAAGTGCAGTTCACCTGTTGAATACTATTCCTTCTCTTCTGTTCATGGTGGCCACCTTGACATTTGCAGAATCCTCTGGGCCTGGATGTAAGCACACTATAGGTACCACTGCTGATGAATGACTTGCAGAGAACAATTTTGTTGTGTAGATGCAATAGTTAAGTGAGCTGGTCAGGCAGCTCTGGATGTTCAGTCGCTCATTTATTTTAAGTCCATATTCTCTGATGGGAATTTGTCAGCTTGTCAAGGATTGAAGTATCACCTAAGGATAAACTGAAACTGAGAAGAAATCTGCAGAAAAATTGAAGGACAGGAAGTATAGCATAGTCAGACAGGCAGACGCTTTTCAGTCTCTGATAATCCCTTGGCTGTTATATATTTCTTGCATGGCAGATCCTGCCAGAATGCTTTTGTTGTGCAAAATAATGTGGACTAGAAACCTGTAGCCAAAAAATGGCAAACGTAAAGCTAAAACTGTTTGGTCCTCATTGCCTTTTTTGTCTAGAGTGACAGAAGCTATAATTGGTAGTAATCATCTATCGGGTTCTAAAAGTAGCAACCCTATAACAATCTTCTAGCTTCCCTTGCAATATGGCATATCCCCTTCTGTCTATAGGTCTGCTCTTTGTCTCACCACAGTGCCTTTTCCCCTCCAATTCTGCGTTTTTACCAGTACAGGTAATCCTTGTTTAGCAACTGCCTTGTTCAGCAACTATTCAGAGTTACAATGGTGATGAAAAAGTAACTTTACAACCAATCCTCGCATTTACAGTCTCTGCAGATCTGTAAAGCAAAGCTGAAGGAAGATCATAACCAGTCAGTTTTGCTTAGTGACTGCTTTGCTTAATGACCAAGTTGCCAGTCCCAATTGTGGTCGCTAAATGAGGACTAACTGTACTAATTCTCCCATTTCCTAGCCCCTAATTCCCTTATCCCTTACCCCTCCCAACATATTATCTGTTCCTGAACTTCAGCTGTAATCTTTTTTCAGACTCTGAACAGTCGTCTTTGGGGGGGAAATACTGACATGACTGTGGATTTATTACTTAAACAAATGTCTGTGTTCTCAGTTTTTGTTGCAAACTGTAAGCACATTGGAAATTTGTGATGGCGAATACATAAACGTTCTCTTAATTTGTAAATATGAGAAGATGTCGATTGTGATGAGGGGAGAGAAAGAGAAGCTAAGGCGTCAATTCTTCCTAATGTTTATCTTGCAGATTTAACTTGCTGGCCAAGACAAGGAGAACATGGAAACAGGATGGTATGAACACCCTGGAGTATCAGCTGCTCTCCAAGGAACTCCACCCCCTCTATACCAATATCACTGTGTTCATTGGAACTGAGAAGGGCATGCAGCACTCCACATGATGCACCGCCTACAGGTTGGCATGGGGACAGGAGCCCCACCCTGACCCTGCTTCTGGATGGAGGAAACCAAAGATTCCACAGAGGGATATCTTGCCCTGAGTAGGGTGGCTGTATCATATTCTGACTGTAGGATCCAGCCAGGTGCTGTGGGTAACAGCATTGCAGTGACTGAATGAGAATTTTACACAGCCCCCCCTCCCCCAGAATTGGGTGTTTTTACCCTGGGGGTAGAGGTGGGTTCTGGCCTTTTGCGGGATGCCTTTTGAACCTTGGATGGAGGAGCGGCGCTGAAGAAACGCAGGGCTCTCTCTGGCAATCTGAACCTTCAGAGCTGCTGTGCCATGGTTGGTCTTTCTTATTAAAGTGCAATTTATTTTAAACTTGTGGCCAAGTGGCAGGGTTTTTTTTCCTCCCCCCCCCCCCGAGTTTGGGTCTAGGAGGAAATGATTGGGAGCCCAATCTGAATGAGCAATACTGTTTGCCAGGAGGGAAGCTGGCTTGTATTTGGCTGGAAAGCAAGAGACGCTGGACGAGGGCCAGCACTAGTGGCTCCATTTGTCGAGCTGACTGCAAGTCACCACATTAGCATAGGGTAGTTCTGCCGAAGCAAATGCCAAATAGTGCCAGAGGAACTGTAGGCTTGCTTGCGTGCCTTCAACAGGGTCTAGGTAAGCATGATAAAAAATTAGACTAGCTTCAGCTTCTTGCTTTTGCAAAAGCTGTGGTCAGAAAAGACCTTCATTTTCCATTCATCTGTACCTGTGCTGCATATGGGACTGTGGGTAGGTTTCAAAGGGGCCTGACCAGTTCTGAGTACATGTCAATACAAGGTGATTCCTTCCATAACAGAATCTATCTCTGCCCCAACAGTTGCTCTGATCAAACATGCAGGATATCTACAATTCCTAACTTGGCAAGCGGATATTCAGTTTAAAAAAAAAAAATTCTAGCTTTCGTAATTTGAGTTTACTCAGTTTGTTCTGTCACTCTTGAAAACTAGTTAATAGACCAGTTTGCACTTCCCAAGGGAGTGGGTGGCTATAATCTTGCACTACAGTCTTCCATCTGTTACCATTTCATGACCACCTTCAAATTCTTTCTCTGCTAACAGATTACAGATTCTTTCAAAAACTGTATTGCAGTGAATGAGGATGTAGCAGTGACCTTTATGAATAGATTATATTTTTAGCATTTCTTAGTTATGCAAAAAATATGCAGGTCGGTTTTGACAAGCAGAACTTGTACTTACTCAGAACACCAAAGATCGATCTAGACCAGCAGATGTATCAGCCAGGGCACGAGGACTACACAGCATCCAGGTCTTGATGCAAGATCTAAGTACGATGTTGGACAGAATGAGGACAGAGGAATGCCTTTTCTGTCTTAGTTGGAGTGGTGTGGTAGCGTGACTGGAGAAGCAGTCTGAATTCTGTTAGCTGTATAGCACAACAGTTGCAAGTTCACTATACTGCTAAACAATTTCCAACATGTTTGCATATTTTCAAAAAGGGAAACTTTTTTTTTTAAAAAATGAACAGCTTAAAAGGAAGTTGAACAAGTCAGGAAATCAAAACCGAACCTTGGATATGTGTACTTCAGAATAGGAAAGTTTAAAAGGATACCAGTGTGATTAATAAGCAAATCAAGGAAGCAATAAAACTAAGAAAGCTTCCTTCAGAAAACGATATTACCTAAATTAGGTGGGGGGAATATTCTGGTGTAACAAATGCAATTTGGTGGCTAGGGAAATGGGGGAAAAAAATCTCTGGTGAATACTGCCAGCATAAAGACTTAACCATAAGTTGTGGTTCAAATACTGCACTGAGCCAAAATGTGGCTTGCTTTGTTTTCAGCTAGAGTGTTCTGCGAACATACCTATTGTGTTATACAAATTTTCTTTAAATATATAGCCAGAGAACCAATTGGGCTCCTAAACTGCAAGTCAGACAGAATGAATTCCTCAACTCTCTTCACTGTGAAAAACACGGTGTAAACACCTATTCCTGATCAGACCTCTTCAGGATGGCGTTTCAAGAAAGGAGGCAAATAGAGCTAATGAGAGATGTGTTAACATGCCCTGATCTTTAACAAAACTTCAAATCCAGATAGCATCCTGCAGCTGCTGACTTATATCTAGTATCAGTGACTGCAGATGGAAATTGGAAAGTAACCAATGGTTACCAATGATTCCTTAAAAAGGAAATCTAGGAAATGCCATGTTAAAATTAACACAGCACATTTTGCTAAGGAAGAATTATTGTCGATTTTACAAAGAGAATTTCTGCCTTGCTGATATTTTTGTTTTTAAATATTTTAAGCATATTAAATAAGCATATGGTTCACAACACTTAAAGCTCCTGAGAAAACGCTGCTCATGGGATAAAATGATGGAGCTCCTAAGGTGTTTACAAGCAGCAGGCAGAAATAAACATTCTTGTACAAAAGGGGAACCTGCAAATGTCAGCACTGAGATAATACTTTCTAACCTAAAGAAGTTTGAACTCAGGGGTTGAGGTAGCCATGCCAGTAAAACTCCCGCCCTGCCGTCTTTTCATACCAATGCATGAATCCCAATACATATATACACTGATTTATAATTTCATTGTTGGTTAATCAAAGGATCTCTGCATTGTTGTGGATATTTCAAATAATAATGTAGACCTAAATAGACACCTGTATATTGGGGGAAAAAATTGAAAGAAAAACCAGAAATGACACGCGTACATGTTTATGGAATAAGCAACTCTTCACAAGAATCTGCTAGGCTGCTTCTAATCCATACAAATCAGGTATCCCCAATATTGGGGGGGGGCTACAAAATGTTATGAGCACCAACTGTGTTTTCTCTCATCCACTCCCCCAAAAAAACCTCCCAACCCCAAACAACCCAAACCCGCACTACCATCATCAGAATAGGGGAAGGGAAGAATTATTTTGAAAAGGGTCCGTCCCCCCCCCCCCCCCC